CTTTTTTCTGCGTGGAGAAAAACAAAAACAAAACTAAAAGTAGGTTTTGGCATCGCCCAATGGGCTTCCTCTCTTCCTCCTCCTGTGCCCAGAACTATTCGTCAATCGCTTTGTAGGAAGCTTCCGTTCTTACATGTCCAAATAGCTGCAGCTACTACCATGAAACCTTGAAAAGGTTTTCTCTTACTCTGCCGAGAAATCAATAGTTCCGTGGCAATTCTCCAAGGGCTGCAGAAGGAACGGAAAGTGAGGGAGCAGACGGGAGATGTTGGACTCGAACAGGGTATCGATCCACTCTAGCGCGATAGTGCACTAGAGAGCCACTCAAGAGGTTGCAAAATATCAGACTTCCCAGGTAAACTCGGAAGCACGATCAGAAGAGCTAATTCTACCGTACTGCACAGATTTGCTCCATCCCTAAGAAGCTATAGAGGGTCCCTTCCAGGGGTGGGTTTCCAATTTTGTCCTATGCACACGTGTTTGTGTGTGCAGGGCTTTAATACAGACCTGGTGAAATGGCATGAACTGTTTTTTAACTCAGCTGAAGCGCGGCAATCCACTCTATTGGTTTCTGCTTGATTGTTTGTCTGGTGTTAATCCCTGCTTATCTGAACGTTTGCAGAAGGTGTGTTCTCATCTTTTCATTCGTTCGTTCGTTCGCTCCTTCCTTCCTTTCATGATGGTCTTCAAAGGATGCTGCCCAGGTGGAATAACCTCCCCCCCCCCCCCGCCATTCCCCTCCCCTAGAGAACTCAGGCTCTGTTCAGAGGTCTGCCTAAGAGAAAAATAAAAGTGCTTTAAATTCTCCTTCCTGTAGGACCTGTTTGGACCTAGAATGTTTAAAAGCATGACTCCATGCAAACATCTCAGGACATGATACCCTGGAGCCGCTACCTTGAGAAAATTGGTGGCCTCCCATTTTGCAATCCCCAGGAGAGAGCATTTATCTCTCTGCTGACAGCCGAGCCTTCAACAGGATCACGCCAAATGCAGGATCAATAGCAATTCAGTTATGTTGTATTTTTAACTAGGCTTTCACGGGGCCGGTGTTTTGTGTTAAGTCCATTTAGCCAGAGCTCCGAGGCAGCGGCATGAAGAGGCGGGGGGATCTTGAAGGCGCAGGAGGAGCGCTGGCTGACCCCAAGCAGCCTTGATGCTGGAAGAAGCTCTGAGCACATCTGAAATTACATCGGAGGAGGCTGCACATTCCAGGAGTGTGGAGTTCTTGATTAGAAGAGCTTACACCTATAAGGCAGAGACACGCACATTCCACAAACCCACCTGGTTAATTGAAATGTCAATCAGGAACTGGGGAAAGCCAAGAGACCGGCATCCAGGTGGCAGCTTCTGGCCTGGGACCAAAGGAGACGAGGTGATTGATGGGCGCACCCAGGAGGACAGAGTTCCATCTGCACTGCGTCATGCGAGGGGTATCATCGCTGCCCATTAAATACCAGTTGATTTTGTTTTCTTTTCTCTTCTGACGACAGAGTAGAGTTGACAGCCACTTTTAGGCAGGGGAAATTAGCGGGGTTGAGGATTTTCATTTTTGAGTCAGCAGAGAGAAGTTTTATACAGTATTTGGTTACCTTTGTTCCTAAAGAACCAGGCTGTGCAGGAGAAGAGCAGGCAAACCTATTTTCCAAAGCACCTGAGGGCAGGACAAGAAGCAACGGATGGAAACTAATCAAGGAGAAAAGCAACCTAGAACTAAGGAGGAATTTCCTAAAAGTGAGGACAATTAACCAGTGGAACTGCTGGTTAAGTTGTGGGTGCTCCATCACTGGAGGTTTTCAAGAAGAGATTGGCTTGTCATTTGTCTGGAAAGGTATAGAGTCTCCTGCTTGGACTAGAAGACCTCCGAAGTCCCTTTTGTTACGCTGTTCTGATGTAAGTGATACACACATACACACCTGTGAACGCTCAATCGAGAGAGTGGAGATTGAGGTTGGGAATGGATACGGTAATTAACAGAAGAAAGAAATCAAAGGCCCAGGCAGGAATTCTCTGTCTCTCTCTCAGCCTTTCCTTTGTTATATTTAGTAAGTTTCAAGAGGAAAAACCGTGAGAGGCAAGCCAGATCCAGACTGTGCTTACGGATGGATTTCAAAGGGAAAAGCCAACATTTCGTTAGAAATAGAGACGCTGCCCCCTGTTCCTTTGTGCTTGACAAATAAGCTGTAAATAATTTAGCATCCTTGCTTTCTTGCCTGACAAATAAGAAACTCGTGCCTTTCTCTCTAACCTGCCCTCCCCTCCAAAAAAACAACAAAAAAAGATATTTAAATCTGTTTTTTCTCCTCCTCTTTCTTCTTCTTACAGTCGGATTTCAACAGTAAAAGCCAACGTTTGACTTTGGAGTCATAAAAATATCTCCCGTAAAAGTATCTTGGCTTTCAAGCACTGATATTGATTAATAAATGGGTCTTTCATAGCTGCTGGCATGTCTAACCTGGTTTAATTTGAATGCCCATCATTATATAAATATATATATATATATTCAACCTCTTTCGTGCACAGTTAGAGACGAAAGTGCCAGGGACCCAGAGATTCTTTTTTAAATAAATCTGGCCCTTATTTGAATCGTTGTGCAAAATTTTTGAAATTATAGTTCCCCAGAGAGCGAGGAGGAGGGAAGACCCCCCTAAAGTAATGGATGTGTTAAAATATTTAACAAAACTCCCTTTTTATTCCTCAAAGCCCATGTTTTATTTAATGAAGCCCAGAGACCTGCAATTCATATTCGGCTTCTTCTCTATCTTTTAGTCCTTGACCTATCAAAGCAAACAGGAAGCTGTTCTCTTACTTGACTAAAGCTCAAAAATTCAGATTATAGAAAGGGGAGTTTAGTTTAGACAGAAGGAGGAAGAGGAGAAATGGTTTAAAATGAATTAAAGATTAGATTAAGATTTTTAAAAAGTCAGTTCCTGGAATTTCCTTTCATCTTGGCTTACATTTTTATCACTTGCTCAGCTGGTAAAGATGGATTTTTTTAAAATGGTTGCTACCAATTGATTTAAACATTTTCTTTAGGAGAAGAGTCTGCTCTCCTAAATGGTCTACTCTAGAAGATTTTAAAGAGTCACATAGAATAGAATTTGGATTGCTTCGATCCAGAAGAACATCTCCTGAACTTTCTAGTTTGCAGGAAATGTTTTGCTATGTCAGGATATCTTCTGTGCCAGATCTTCCGGCGAGTGTCACCTTCCATTTCCACCTTAATTTTGGAGCAGGAGTCATCTGTTCAATAAATCAACATCGTGATTAATTTTCTCCAACTTAAACGCTGAACATCCACGCCGAGCCACGGGGCTGCTTCAGCCTTGCCTCAGATGACATTTTTTCTTTTTTTTTTGTGAAAGAGGCTAATTATGACTTAATTGCTCATGTAATTTTGAGAAGATCACATGACCCGGAGAAGCAGAGAGGATTCTGCCAACATGTCCTGTGGTTCTTCGGGGCGGGAGAAAATGTGTTTTGGTTTTCTGCTGTAACTGAGCAGAGAAAAATGGGCAGGTAGATTGTATTAGAGGCTGCCTGGCACTTTTGAATTATTGTTTTTTTTAAAAAAATAAAATAAAGGAAAGAAAAATAAGTTCCTGGATGCTCTTTTTGGCAACTGCAAGGCAATCAGCCATAAATTCAGATTCCTTCTGGTCTTGAAGTCACAACAGAATCATGATACATCATTCTGCTAAACAAATAATTCCCTCAACACTGTTCAACTATTTATAAAGTCTGCACTACTATTACTGCTAATCTCCTCATCACTCCTTATCACCCATCTCCTCCCACTTATGACTGGATGACTGTAACTCTGTCGCTTGTATACTTACAATTGATATTGACTGTTTCCTAGTATGATTTGATTGCTTATTGTACCCTATGACTATTATTAAGCGTTGTACCTGATGATTCTGAGAGCATCTGCACCAAGACAAATTCCTTGTGTGTCCAATCACACTTGGCCAATAAAGAATTCTATTCTATTCTATTCTATTCTATTCTATTCTATTCTATTCTATTCTATTCTATTCTATTCTCATTCTCATTCTCATTCTATTCTATTCTATTCCTGTTCTATATTCTATATTCTATTCTATCCTTGTTCTTTTCCTATTCTATATTCTATTCTATTCTATTCTATTCTATTCTATTCTATTCTATTCTATTCTATTCTATTCTATTCCTATATTCTATTCTATTCTATTCTATTCCTATATTCTATTCTATTTTCTATTCTTTCTATTCTATTCTATATTCTATTCTATTCTTATTGTACCGTATGACTATTATTAAGTGTTGTATGTTATGATTCTTGACTCTTGGTGAATGTATCGTATCTTTTATATACACTGAGAGCATTTGCACCAAGACAAATTCCTTGTGTGTCCAATCACACTTGGCCAATAAAGAATTCTATTCTATTCTATTCTGTTCTGTTCTGTTCTGTTCTATGACGTTCGATGGCTTGGTCCCAGAAGTTGTGGCTGCTCCATCCCTGGAGCTTTTCAAGAAGACAGTGGACAACCATTCGTCCGAAAGAGTAGAGGGTTTCCTTTCTGACCAGGGGTTGGACTAGAAAGACCTCCAAGATCCCTTCCAACTCAGGTTATTCTATTATTATTTTTCTCCTCCCAAAGAACCCTTTTTCAGTGGGAGTGTTTGGAAAAACGTTTTTCCATGCAACCTTCTGACTTCTGACAGAGCAGCACAGGTCATTCTCAACTTATGACCACAATCGAGCCCAGAATTTATGTTGCTAAGTGAGCCATTGGTGAAGTGAGCCTTGCCTCATTTCTTACAACCTTTCTTGCCACATTGGTTCCACGAATCCCTGCAGTTGTTGAGTAACATGGTTGCTCAGTGAACCTGGCTTCCTGGTGGATGCGGCTGGTCAGGACGTTGCAAAAGGGCTATTGCACGACGCCTGGGACGCAGCCACCGTCGTAAATATGAACCTGTTGCCCAGCATCTGAATGTAAATCCGGGAACCACGGGGAGGCTGCAACGGTCCCAAGGGTGAAAAATGGCCATCAGTCCCTCTTTTCCAATGCCATTGTAACTTCGGCCACTAAACGAACTGTTGAAAGTCGAGGAGTACCTGTATCAGAGGTGGGATTCAGCCGGTTTTGATCGGTTTTGGAGAACCGATAGCGGAAATTTTGAGTCGTTTGGAGAACTGGCAAATCCCACCTCTGATTGGCCCCGCCCCTGTCTATTCTCCGCCTCCCGAGTCCCAACTGATTGGCTGGATCTTCTTTGGTTGCCCTGCACAGGAGAACGGAGCTGGAAAGCAGGTTAGTGGGGTGGGGGAGAGAATGGGGATTTTGCAGTATCCTTCCCCTGCCCACGCCCACCGAGCCACACCCACAGAACCTGTAGTAAAAAAATTTGAATCCCACCGCTGACCTGTGTAGCTGAGCTGCAAACAGCCCCCCCAAACCCCCCCCCCCAAAGCTGCGTTTTAAGAAATTTCATTAGCAAGCTGCTCTCCTCCAGAGTGGAGATGAAAGGAAATTTATTAGAGGCATGCTACTGGTATCAGAGAGAGAGAAAGAGAGAGAACGCTAAAAATAATGAACTTGAATATTAAACATAACAAGGTCCTCGGTCTGGATCCCCAACAAGTGGAATCATGTCTGTTTCATTGCCCAGGACAGATAGGGACAAATTGGTATCACTTGGATGCATTTTTAGCAGAAGGTGGCAGGAAAGAGGCAAAAGCTACAAGGAAAACGGCCTGGGGTGGAAGGGAAACTATACAGACCTTCCTTGAACGATGACCACAATTGAGCCTCAAATCTCTTTTGTTAAGTGAGAACATTCATTAAATTTATTTTACACGAGTACCTGGGGAAGGAAAGCGATGGCAAATCTAGATAGCCTACTAAAAAGCAGAGATATCCCCCTGCCAACAAAAGGGGTGTATAGTCAAGGCTATGATTTTTCCCAGTTGCAATCTATGGCTGTGAAAGTAGGACCGTAAGGAAGGCTGAGTGCCAAAGAATGAAGGCCTTTGAACTCTGGTGCTGAAGAAGACTCCTGTGGGTCCCTTGGACTGCAAGGCCATCCAAACGGTCAGTCCTAGAGGGGATCAACCCCGACTGCTCTTTAGAAGGCCAGATCCTGAAGATGAAACTCAAAGACTTTGGCCATGTCATGAGAAGGAAGGACTCCCTGGAGAAGAGCCCAATGCTGGGAATGATGGAGGGAAGAAGAAGGAGAAGGAGAAGGAGAAGGAGAAGAAGAAGAAGAAGGAAGAAGAAGAAGAAGAAGAAGAAGAAGAAGAAGAAGAAGAAGAAGAAGAAGAAGAAGAAGAAGAAGAAGAAGAAGAAGAAGAAGAAGAAGAAGAAGAAGAAGAAGAAGAAGAAGAAGGAGGAGAATGAGGAGGCTGGATGGAGTCACGGAAGCAGTCGGCGTGAGCTTAAAGGGACTCCAGAAGATGGTAGAGGACAGGAAGGCTTGCAGGAACGTTGTCCGTGGGGTCACGATGGGTTGGACACAACTTCACGACTAACAACAACAACCCCTACACAGTTAGGATAAGGAATTGGGGCCACCTGTTGTTCTGTCAGGCTAAAAGATACAATATTATAAGGCTTCTTTATGGAATGGTCTTTAGAGTTAATTAAGTGATAAAGGCATTATTATTTGGATCATGTTACCGTGGGGATTGCTGCCACAGTCGTAAGTGTGGGAAATGGTCATAAGTCAGTTTTTTTCAGTGCCGTTGTAGCTGTTGTGACCTAGGCTTCCCCAAGATCATGAAGCAGACCCCCCACCCCAATAAAACCCCTTTAATTTAGGCTAAAGGGAATTCCCCTCCAGCAAAGTCCCGACCAACAGTCTTTCACGAGATTTCACAACTACAGACCTTTATCGAGCTTGGAGAGCTGCCAGGCCAATTATCTTCCAAACGCCACTCTGTAGCAGACAATACTTGGCAAGAAGTCAGGAACAGATCTTCACCCTCATGAATTGAACTAATTGTCTCCTGCAAACCCCACTCCCCTTTCGCTCCTCTTTATTCCCTCTGGGAGGGGCCATTCACCGCCCACCTGTGCCCTTACTCCCAAGTCGACCCTTATTCCTTAGATGTTCCCTTCTCCTGGCAGCTCTGCGCATGCTCACACTGGGAACAGGCTCCAGCTGTTCTTCTGCCTCACTGATCTCCAACTCTGAAGGCAGCTGATGACTATTGGGTTGCCCTGGCCCCATCTCTTCCTCCGACACAGACCACTTGTCAGAGCCTTCCGCAGAGTCCAGGACTGGCCTATGTTTCTCCCTAACCTCCTCACCGTCCGAGTCTGCTGCCAGCTCCACTGGCGGGCCACAACAGTAGCTTTGGGCAGTCACTAAACGAACGGTTGTAAGTCAAGGACAATCTACAATGGCTAAGATATACGAAAACCACTTGCTTATGGCTGAGGGCATAGAATCAATTTGGATTTGTTGATCAAACCGAGTTTTGATCTTACACAAGTCCAATGTTGGGCTTTTCTAAGGCGGTTCGATCTAGTTGCACCAAAAGGGAAAGGCCGTGTTGTTAGCATCACAAATAGAGAAGGGGAGATGTTGGATGAAGGAATTGACAGGCACAGTTCCAGGAAATCCTAAGCGACTCAGAATGAAGCTCATGGACACTCGACCAGGTTGTCACCATCTGGTAGGTCCCTTTGCTGAGGGGCGCTGGGGAAGAGAGAGCTTCTCCGTTTAAAAATAAATAAATTAATTAAATTTCCCCTGAAAAATAAAGCATGAAGTTAATGAGTTTCTTCATTAGGGAAAACATGTGCAGCTGTCTCTGGTACCAAGTGGATGATGAAGAAATGAGATTTAATTGGAGGAGGAAGGGGAGGAGGGCTCTATGACGCCTTCTATCCCTCCTTCCATCTCACCATCCATCCATCCATCCATCCATCTCTCTTTCTCTCTCCATTTCTTTCTATCATCTATCATATCTATCTGTCTATCTGTCTCTCTCTCTCCCCCATCTATGTATCATCTATCATCATCTATCATCTCTACCGTCTCTATCCATCCATTATCGATCATCTATCTGTCTGTCTGTCTGTCTGTCTATCTATCTATCTATCTATCTATCTATCTATCTATCTACCTACCTACCTACCTACCTACCTATCTATCCACCTATCTATCTATCATCCTGTCTCTATCCATCTATCTATCATATATATCCCTATCTATCCTATCTATCTATCCATCCATCCATCCTCCTATATCTCAGCTCCTAAGAGGCACCCAGCCTCATTCAACTCAGAGAAGCAAAATGAGATAAAAACTTACTTTCCAGTGAAGCATGAAAAGGAAATAAATGTGTCTCATCACTTCAAAAATATAATTAACCCAAATAAGAGATTCTTTTTTTAAAAAAAATAAAAGTTGGGCCCCGCCAAGGGAGCGTTTTATTCTTAGCTGAACTGGGAGGTGTGTGGCAGTGCCATTAATTACAAAAGACCTCATGCTGTGACAGTCTCCCATTCGGAGCCCACAATGGTTTTATCATCCTGACATCCTGAATTTATTTTGGGGCAGAAAGCTCTTCTGGAATATGGCAGCAGACTGAATTTCCAGCTGCACGCAGCTAAGAAGAGGGGGTCGAGGGATTATCATGGCGGAAACTTATAAAATAAATCCATTCCCCGAATCAAAAATTTGCCTTATAATTTATCTTGGGCACACATGGAAAGACACAACGCCAACCTGTTCTTTCCAGCCACTCATGTAATCAATCAATCAGCCTATCGAGAGACCAACTTCAATGCAAGCGATTTCAATCAGGGTGTAATTAAATAATCCACCAACCAACCAATCAATCAACCAGTGTACCTGAGATGCCAATTCAATGGCGGTGATTTTGAAAGCTAATGGGCAATTCTGAATAATTGCTCTATCCGGCAAGGTATGCAAGTAAGTTCTGGACTTACAACCACAACTGAAGCCAAAATCTCCATTCCTAAGCGATGCGGTTGTTAAGTGAGTTTGGCCTCATTTTGCCATCTTTCTTGCCACAGTCATTAAGTGGATCTGCCATCGGGTTTGAAGCGGTTTACCTTGAGTTTGTACTGGTTGTTTGCCTGTGTGTATTATTGTGGTTGAAGCTGAAGAAGTCGTTGATAGGCAAGGTTGAGAAATGCCAAACCCATTTTATTCAACCTTGGGAACTTGAAGACGTGCGGATTTCACAGGGACCATGCTGGCTGGGAAATTCTAGGAGTTGAAAGCTCCTCAAGTTACCGAGTTGGGAAAAACTCTTGATTTGGACAAACTTCATTTGATTTCATCCTATCTTTTCTCCCCTTACCGCCTGCTCTCTGAGATCCATTTTAGAAGATGCTTGATGAATAAAGATGATCTTGACTTGGAGTGGCAATAAAAGGCGTGGGAGAGAGAAGGATTGAAGAAAGCCAAGCCAGAAAATGAATATTGTCCTGTGGAGAACATATACTTTTAACTCCCCAGGTGGCTCCTAAAGGGCCTGAGTAATACGCTTGAAGCGAAGAGTTTGGGGGTGTCACTTTCTGACTCTTTTGTCGCTAATGGCTCAGCAGCAGGTCAAGTGGCTTGTAAGTTCATCAACAGAAGATCTTCGTTAGTAATTGGCATCCTCCAGGAGGAAGAGACAAAAAGAACTTTCCTTTCTTTTCCTTTCCTTTCCTTTCCTTTCCTTTCCTTTCCTTTCCTTTCCTTTCCTTCTCTTCCCTGTTCCTCCTTTCCTTTCCTTCCTCCTTTCCTTCCTTTTCCTTCCCTGTTCCTCCTTTCCTTTCCTTTCCTTTCCTTTCCTTCCCTTCCCTTCCCTGTTCCTCCTTTCCTTTCCTTTCCTTCCCTTCCCTTCCCTGTTCCTCCTTTCCTTTCCTTCCTCCTTTCCTTCCTTTTCCTTCCCTGTTCCTCCTTTCCTTTCCTTCCCTTCCCTTCCCTTCCCTTCCCTTCCCTTCCCTTCCCTTCCCTCCCCTCTCCTCTCCTCTCCTTTCCTTTCCTTTCCTTTCCTTTCCTTCCCTTCCCTTCCCTTCCCTTCCCTGTTCCTCCTTTCCTTCCCTTCCCTCCCTTTCCCTTCCCTTCCCTCCCCTCCCCTCCCTTCCCTTCCTTTTGTAATCATTATTTCAACCACTTATAGCAGCTAACCCAGAAGAAAATGCCTTGAATATTTTCTCTTCCTTTACAGCCCTGGAACTAAAAAGGAGGACCGTTCCCCCCCCCCCCCCACTTGAACTTCTAACATCCACGGGGAGGACGGGGAGGGTTGCCCTTTCTATTCTCAGCTGGTGACTTTCTTCTTCCCTGTAAGTCCTCTTTCTGTGGCCCGTCCACTCTTTGGGAGGCAGCTGTCGAGGTTCCTTGAGATCCTCCCTGGGACAGAAATAAAGCTCCCTGAGAGGAGATCAACGGTTCTGGACACAGCGTATGTCCTGAACAGAGGTCTCCTGGCTTTTGCCAACGGTCAGCTGGCAAGGAAATGCTGGACTTTGCCAGTATTATATACCAGCTCGGGTTGGGGGTGAGGACCGAGGCTATAAAAAAAAAAAGAAGGATATTTCTCCAGAAAGTTAAACTAAGGAGCCAAACAGCTTGCACCCAACAAGCTGTAGGAACAGAAAGAGTTCCTGGACTTTCTTCTGCTCCCTCAGGGAGGCCTTCAAGGTGGAGCTAAATCCAGAGTCTTCCCTCATAGCCGAATTCCAGAACCTTCTCTCCCTTCGTCTCAGATATTAGCGATAAATCTCGAAGTTGCATCTCCTGCCCTGGAATTCCTGTTAGGTTTTGGAGGTTCCAAAACTTGAGATTTTGGGGGTGGGGCAAGGTTTTCGTTTTCGTTGCACCGTTTCTCTCTGGCTCTCACTCAGGACGGGTCTGGCTCCCCTGGGTCGCGAGAGGGCTATTATTATGACTGCTGGACCGAGTTACATAAAGTATTTACGTCTTGCTGGTGACCCAGCTGACCCTGAACGAGCTGGGTGGATTTGATGAGGTTGGCTCAGCCTGGGAAGGATTTCGCCGGGGATCATCTGTTGGCTCTGCCTTTCTTTTTCCTCTTCTTTTTCTCCTTTTACAATTCTGGCAGGAGCTGTAGGGTGATCAAGTCGGTTGCTGGATCGTTGTGGGAAATCTGGCTCTGGTCTTTTCTTTTAATCCTCCAAGGCTCAATTCAAGAGGTCACTTGAATGTATGTTTCTGGGGTCACCAAGATGGCCCTAAAATCTATCCATTGTCTTTCTTGGTTTCTCCTCCTCCTCCTCCTCCTCCTCCTCCTCCTCCTCCTCCTCCTCCT